CCTGCTGGAAAGGCTGGGCTGCAGGTGAGCCCACGGCCCGGAGGACTGACCATCGCCCGCAGGCTCTGGGTGTATCCCAGGCATCCCCACATCGGCATGAGCTCCAGGGCCCAGTCCGTGCTGCTGCTTCTTCTCGCACTGCTGATGCTGCAGGTGAGCAGGGGCGGGTACCCACAACCTGGCGCGTAGGATCTATCTGCCAGGTGCCAGGAGCTGAGAGCACAGCTCCAGCTGGCTCTGCCCCTTCGAGGATAAGGGGTCGGGGGTGGACTGCATGTGATCGGCGGCAGCTGAGAGCGAGGGGGCTGGGAACTTTAGTACAGGGGAGGAAAAGGATTTTCCAGAATTTATACAAAGGAGGGGTTTAGCGCCATGATCTGTTTGGGGGAGTAGTGGGGACAGGCTAAGGGGACTCGCCTTAAACCCGGTGTATATAGTACACACACTTTTAGATTTATATCAACACATTTCCTAAGGATACGTCTATTCACCTTACATAAGACTAAGAAAATCTCAACTGAGTATGTCAAAGACGGTTTGAGCAAACCGATGGGGGTGGGAAAGCTAAATCCCCCTGTCCCCCACCAGTTGCCTCGGCTCAACTGGGAAAAAAACAGTAGAATCAAGGTGAGACAAGTATGGGCTTATTCTGTTTGTACTTACAGTGGACGGAGTTAACGCTCCTGCACATGCTTGTGGGTCACGACCTGCTTAGTCACTTTCCTCAGAGCGGGAGGGAGAGCCGTGGAACTCTGGCGTTGCTGCTGAGTTCCTCCTTATAAACCCGCCGAGGGCAGAGGCAGGAGGCCCTGCAGTGGGCGGGGGTCAAGATGCTGGGCCTGTGCTGGGTCACTGGGGTGTGGCCTGGGCATCCGGTTTTTAAAGGTTTTAACTTCACCTTATTAAGCCTCATTTCCTCCACCTGAAATTGAAGCTAATGCTTGTACTTTTCTGTGGGAGTCAATGAGGTAATACAGAGAATCTGCATCTTTCTGTTTTCGCAGCCCTGGTGAAATGGTTGCTCTGTTTACTCAGGGCCGGGGCTGCTACTACTGATTGGCTACTCGTTCTGAGCCAGGTGCTTTCATAGCCACTGGGGTGTAACAGTAAACAAAAGAGCAAAGAAAAAGTTCCCAGTCCTCTAGCCAGCTCTGCTTCTGAAATTTGATGCCTTATTTGGCACCCTTTGCTTGGTGTTCGGAGGACTTTCTTGGCTACTTTTTAACATGGAAGAACCTTTTTTTATAAATTTATTTTATTTGCTTTTGGGCTGTGTTGGGTCTCATTGCTGCGTGCGGGCTTTCTCTAGTTGTGGCGAGCGGGGGCTACTCTTCGTTGTGGTGCGCGAGCTTCTCATTGTGGTGGCTTCTCTTGTTGAGGAGCACGGGCTCTAGGCGCACGGGCTCAGTAGTTGTGACGCAGGGGCTCAGTAGTTGTGGCACAGGGGCTTAGTTGCTCTGTGGCATGTGGGATCTTCCCGGACCAGGGCTTGAACCTTGGTCCCCTGCATTGGCAGGCGGATTCTCAACCACTGCACCACCAGGGAAGCCCTCTTGGTTACTTTTTGCCATGAGGAGTTGTGTGTTCTGGTAGAATCCTGTTTCAGTAGCCCATGTTCACCTGGATTTGAATACATCACAAATCAAACCCTGTCTCCATCTTTGTCTTGCTCCTGCCCTCACCCCTAACTGGACTCATTCAGAGGTGTATTTTTTCTCCTTTCTGTTGTGTTAGCACAGAGCCCGGGCAGGTCAATTCACGTCGGAGGGTGTGGTGGGTTGGCTGGGCAGTAGGACTGGACTGTGGGTAGCAATTCCGTGTTTGTTGAAAGCAGCTTTATATAGATTCCAGGGGATCAAGGCCAAGGGAGAGAATGGGATGCAGCAGGATTCAGAGGTTTTGAGCAATCCACACTCTGGACCCTTAATTGACGAAGACCTTTGCGCCTGGGAGGTGCCCAATTATTTGCTGAGCGGGCTGTAAGTAACCTATTCCTTTCCACCCCTACCTTTTCCTCCCACATTGGTTTCTGACCAGCTCTGACATGCAAAGCAGGCACCCCCTCCCCCTCCTCTGATCCAGATTTAAAACTGGTACCCATTCTGCTGAAGAGCTGCAATGTCTACGACAGTTTTCTCCCCAAATCCCCCACCCTTGCTTTGTCATCCTGACATGAAGCAAAGGACAAAGCTGTGACTCTGCTGCAGGTCTTTGTCCCAGATCCCACGACAAGCCACAGAAGCAGGGTCCTGCTCCCCTATTTGCCATTTCCAGTCCTGAGAGCCTGCACGTCCTCAGCTTTGGGCTGTGGCAGCTTCCAGGACCCAAGAGAAGGGAGGGTTTGAGAAAGAAGTTAGTGCACAAAGTCTGTTATGGTTGGTTGTTGTTTTTAATCTGGGAAATTCTGAGTCGAGTTATCTTTGAAAAGTTTCTTAGCATTTATGCTCTGCCTGATTAACTCACTCAACCGCTTCATTCAAGAACAACAGAGCTGGCGGATTGCAGGAGGTGAGGGGTCATATGGTCAGAGGTGATGCTGAGCCCTCAGCAGGGGTCAGAGTGGCTGGTCTCTGTCCTAAGAGCCCTGAGAACCCCATTTTCTGTTGCTCTATGCCAAATCCGCACCTGTAAACGATCAGCCAAGCTTCCATATGCAGAGAATGTGTTTGGACCCGTGTGCTAGTCTCCAAGGGCTGTTATTACAAAGGACAAACTAGGTGGCTTAAAGCAACTGAAATGTACAGCATGGCGACTCTAGTTAATAATTCCAAATTGCATATTTGAAACTTGCCAAGAGAGTAGATCTTAAAAGTTCTCATCACAAGAAAAAAAATCTGTTACTATAAATGGTGACAGATATTAAGTAGGCTTCTTGTGACGATCATTTCGAAATACATACATATATTGATTGAATTATTGTGTTGTGCTCATGAAACTAATATGCTGGTGCACGTCAATGAGACCTCAATAAAAAAATTTTTCTTGAATTCAAGTTTGCTGTGAAAAATATTTTCAGGAAAGAATTATTTCCATATAGGTCTCTTAGTTCTTTACGACCTTCTATAGACACAAAGCCTTCATTTACTGAGAAAACTTCTCCCCAGAGTTGCCACGGCTCCTCAGCCTGGCCCGCACAATGCCGGTGACATGTCCTCAAGTCAGCAGCAGCTATCATGTGATGGGCAGGCTGGACCTTACAGTGACCGCCCACCTGCCACACTCCCATGAAATAGGTGGACAGTGCAGCTGGAGATGCGCTTGGAGAAAGTTTTCTCCCCAGTCGCGTTACAGAAAGCTTTATGTAAATCTTTTGAATGGCATCCGCTTTGGACAAACAGCCTAAAATTGGCAGGGATGGGAAATATAATAAGCGTACTTACAAGATCATTTCGACAAATATAACTGTTTCCAGTCTTCCTGCCTCACCAGTCGAGACAGTGCAAATGAATTCCAAGTGGTGCATAAAGAGAGGAGAAACAACACACATGTGCACACAAGGATGTGAAATTTCAGGTGTCTCTGGGCGAAGAAATACACTATTTCAGACCTCTTTTCCAGCGCTCCAGCCGGCTCCTGGTGACTGTCGGCTGTGCTGTTTATGTGCCATCATAGGAAAATGAAACTAGAGCTTTCCTGTTGAAAGGGCCCTACACCTCACTTCACACCCTTGCTCACAGAAGGGGAAACTGAGGCCAGAGAGGAGACAAAACCTTAATGTATTCCTTGTTCATGACCTGGGCCACCCGAAAATACACCTGTCTTAGAAATGGAATGAATTTCTTCATTCTGTTGCAAGACCTGCAATTTTCTCCATTTTAAAATTCCACATGCGGTTAGGCTCTTAATTTAAAATTAACAACATTAATCAAGAAGCATTTGTTGTCTGAATAAGTCGATGTTTGAGATTTTGGAAAGAGTTTAAAAAAATTCTTTGCCTTTAGGGAAAAAGATAGAAATAGAGCCTGTGGCAGGAAACAAATACGTTTATATTTGACATTAACAAAACCAGATGACCCAATAATATACCCCACTCACTGGAAGGGTGGCCAACCACAAGAAATGAAGATTTGGAGGATGTTTCTTTATTTTCTATGACGCTGTTATTTACTACACAGTCCTTTATGCTGCAACAAGCTTTTGGGTGAGGATAGATCCTTATAGTGGCGGGGGGGGGCGACCACAACAAGAGGTGTTCGGCAGGCTCTAGGTGGGCTGGTGATCACTTACCCTGTCCTGGGAGATCTTAGGTATAAATCCTAGAGGAGCAGCTATCAAACCTCTTGCTCTCAGGATGCCTTTCCACTCGCAAACTTTATGCAGAACCCAAAGAACTGTTGCTTATGAGGTTATATTTACTGATGCTTACCATGTTAGAAATTAAGACTGGGAATTATTTTTTTGGCCACGCCATGTGGCTTGTGGGATCCTAGTTCCCTGACCAGGGATCGAACCTGGGCCTCCTGCAGTGGAAGCATGGAGTCCTAACCACTGGACCGAGAGGGAATTCCCAAGACTGGGAAATTTTAAACGTATTTCTCAATTCATTAAAGTTAGTGATAAGTCCATTACATGTTAATATAAATCACACATGTCTATGAAAAATAAACATTTTTCAAAATTCCATTCAGTTTGAAGAATGGCACTCTTTTATGTTTTTTGCAAATCTCTTGGCTGTCCGGCTTAAAAGCAGACAGCTGGATTCTCCTCTCTGATTCCGAATTCTCCTCTCTGATTCCGAATTCAGTCTGTTGTAAATGTTGTTTGGTTAAAGTATGTGAAGCAATTCCGGCCTCACATAGGTATATATGGAAAGGGAGGAATATTTTAATCGCCTGGAACAGATAATTGTGGGTATTCTTTTTGACATCACACCAAAACTTGACAAGTGGTCCTTTTTTAACACTTACTTGCAATGTGGAATCCGAAAGCATATTAATGAACTTTCCTTACTCTGTTCCATTAAAACCATTTGTGTCTCTTGCATTGCAGATGACTCTCACCTGTGCATGATTTTGGACCGTGATGTCTTAATCAGTAGGAAACTCAGCTCTTGGAGCAACGAAGATCTTCCAAATGTTGACATATTTCATTCTACAAAATCAAAAAATCACATTCGTCAATCTGTCCACCGACATCAGCAGAAAAATCTTTACCTGTTGGGAAGCTGTCAAGCTCGGAGTAGCAGACACAAATTTTCCAAAATTCTAATTTTTGCTTGAGAGCTTAAATTTTACTGTCGGCAACATGACTGTCCATTGTTTTTCTCGAAGTGACGGGCTGACTCTGTTCATTACCAACGACCTGTCTGTCAAGTACCTGATCCCGAACAGCCATGGTCAGGCAGTCATTCTTTCGAGGAAAATGCTGCTTCAGAAAAAAGTGGCCTGGGGCTTCCCTGGTGGCGCAGTGGTTGACAGTCCGCCTGCCGATGCAGGGGACACGGGTTCGTGCCCCGGTCCGGGAAGATCCCACATGCCGCGGAGCGGCCGGGCCCGTGAGCCATGGCTGCTGAGCCTGCGTATCCGGAGCCTGTGCTCTGCAACGGGATAGGCCACAACAGTGAGAGGCTCGCGTACCGCTGAAAAAAAAAAAAAAAAAAAAAAAAAAGGGGCCTGTTCAGCTGTCAACTCTGATAATCACAAACGTGCTCTTCTTTGATTCAAACCTTCTACACTGATGGGTAGCACAGGGGTTCATGCATCCTTCCCATGTAGACCCAGAGTGCTTAAAAGATAGACATGCAGGTGTGGCAATGGGATAAATTAATAACATTTTCTGCCTCGCCCATCCTCAAGTGACTTCAATAACTAAATGAATTCACCAATTACATCATTCTTAAGCGAGACTGGCTTTTTTTCTTTTCCTTCCTCTCTCCCTTCCTTCTTCTTTCCTGCACGTGCGTGGTGATGAAGAACGCATGACTATCAGAGGAATTTGTGCCATAGCCTCCAATGGTGCTGAGGCACCAGCAGTTTTGTCACTAATCTTTGGTACCATCAGTGCAAATGTCACACAGCAAAACAAATAGTATCTTAGATTATTATGTACGTGTTTGGCCTTGTGGAGTCTCTGATAGCGTCAGGGACCACAGCGAACCAAAGTGAAAACCAGGGTCCAGAGAAATTTTCTATGTGCATATGGATGTTTATAACCACAGCATCTTTTTTGTGTGTGTGTAACAACAAACAACTGGAAATAACCTAAATGGCCATCATTAGGAAAATGATAAATAAATTGTCCTCCATTCGTATAGTGAAATGCTACAGGGCAGTGAAAATGAATGAAGTAGAACTATGGGTGTCACACACATGCACATACATGCACACACATACACGTATACATACAGACACACATGTTTTGTGTTGGTTTGACATCCATTGCAGGGCTCGTCTCTTTCTCTTGGTACTTCAACACTCTTACTGTACATGTTTGGGGTTTTTTTTTGAGGGGGAAATTTGTTGAGATAAAAATGATAAACAATTCTCAATGTAAATAATTATGTAAACGTAAAGTACCAAATTCCTTAATTTTATTGATGACTGTATGATAAAGTCTAAAAATAAGGTAAACATAAAAGAAAAAACAAAAAAAAAAAGCCCACTTGAATCCCACCACCAATTAACGTTTGGTGCTAATTTACATGTGCCCATGGAAATACATTTGTGCTCACCCTGAACAGACAGTTTGATTACCCATTTATTATGGTATGCTAACATAACAGTAACATTTAGGGTTTTAAATGTCCCTACCGTTGGTAATACTTAATCAGAATTCTCCTCCAGTTACAGAAGGGAAGTGGTAATTATGAATTGAGATGTCAAGAACGAGAAATTATAGTTATCAAAACTGAATGCAGTTCCTTTTTCCCCCTTTCTAATTCTAGAAGATTTGTGTGACTTTAGGCAGCTTCTACCTGATTCTGCTAAGTACATTCCCTACTAATTAATGTCATTTTTATTTTTAAGGTCAACAGTGCCCCACCAGAAAATGATGGTCTTGCTAATCAAACAAAGGTGGGGTTTGGAATTCAGTTTCTTGATAAACCAAGTGAGACTGTACTTTACTTAGAAGCTGGATTGCAATTTTGAGTTTTTCAGTGCCCTGTCAATGTTTGGTTGAGACAAAATAAATTAGTAACTAGATGTGGCCTTTTAGAATCTCAAAGGACTGAAGAGAATTGCAGACGATGCTTTTATGTCTAATTAGAACACGAGCAATCCGTGAACATCAGGAATCAAGCACACAGTGCTGGCCCAGAGGTTTGCCCACACTCTTTTCTTCTTTAGGGAATTAGAAACAGCAGACTTGCTATTTCCCAGTGTGTGAGTACAGGGCAGTGCAGGGATGCAGTCACCACCACCATCATGAGGTTTTGTTGTATCCTCATCCACCTTATGATTTCCTTCCCGTAGTTCTTGTGATCTACTCACTTTCTAATTACATAATTTTTTTAAAGTACATTCTTGTGAATAAAAATGAATGTGACTAGAAACCGGCTATACTGTAAAATATATATAAAACAAATGAAACCACATAGTTAAATTCTATCTATATTCCCTTGCCTGACAAATCTCTGACCCTAACGTCTGAGTCTAAGTCTGTTACAAGGGACTTGAGTAAACAGAGGGGAATTCAAGACCCAACTGCACTGAATGGAGACTTTCTCACCAAGGATCTCAGAAAGATGGAGAGAGAAACAGAGGGGCAGTAAATCTCCCACGAATTCAACAATTCTGTGCATGTCTGCTTTAGAGCAGGTGCGAGCGCACACTAGGCAATGATCTTTAGTGCTGTGTCTTCATGGCCCCTGAAATTATCTCATGAGCCACATAAAAATGGAAAATCCTTGGGTGTCACATGCCCCCCAGTTTAGAACTGACTCTGTGGTTGTAGAGAGACGGGCACTTGGAATTGCTGAGCATCGGAGACTATTGTGAGGATGGGAGAGGAAAGGGCCATCAGTCACTGCGCCCCTGGCGCCACAAACACCCTCCTCACCACGGTCACTGTGATTTCCAGGGAGACAGCCGGCCTCTACGGCGACCCAAGAGAAGATGGATTATCACGACCATGGAGCTGGAGGGGGAAGACTCGGGACCCTTTCCCAAACTTGCAGGTGAGGTAAGGCAGCTGCTCTAAGGAAGGGCCCCATCATCCACCATCCTCCCCAATTAAGCATGCTGCTGTTGGCAGGAGGCTACGGAGGCCAGGTAGTGGAGTGGTAGGGGCAGCACTGGCCAGGGTCAGGAGTCAGGAGGCCTGGGTCCTAGAGCCCACCCTGCCTTTACCTGAGTGTGTGACTTTGGATAAATCGCTGCTCCATGTAAGAGTGAGCTGAGAAAGTCAGAATCACATATATACACGCAGGGCTGATTCACTTTGCTGTACAGCAGAAACTAACACAACTTGTAAAGCAACTATACTCCAATAAAAATTAATTAAACAAAAAAACAAAAACAAAACAGAACAAAAAAATTAATTAAAAAAAAATCACATATGGCAACAGGCTGGTTAGTTCCAGCCTGTAGGCCTGTTTTATATTGTACCATGATTTTAAAAATTGGAAAAAATAGGGTGATTGTATTAAAAATTCTGCACATCTAGAGGCTTTATAAAAATGAGAAGATCTGATTCCTTGGACAGTACATCCCCACATGGTAGGAATTTGTTGGGGCTTGAGTTACCCAGGGCGTCACAGTCCCCACCACTCCCTATTGTCTCCCTCACTTTGAGGTTTGAGTGTCAACTGAAGCACCAAAGAAGTCCCATGGGGATGTTGGATGCCAGGATTTTTATACTCGGCTCCTGCTGTTCATTTCCACCACCTTCCTGACCTCCATGGGTCTTTGAGTTACATACTAAGTCCCCTACAGCTCTGACGTTCTATGATTCCTAGAAAAAATTTTTAAATGATTCATATTTGTTCAATATTTATAAAAATAATATATACCTACTGAAAAAAACCCATCTATAGACAGTTTGGAAGGCCCAGCGGTTAACAGTGAATACTCCCAAGGGTCAGGGGACTCAGTGGGTTCATATTCCAGATGTACCACATCCTCACTATACAAATTAGAGAGACTTTTTGCCTCCTCATCTGTACAATGGGGTCAACGATAGTACCTTCATTATAGGGTTGTTAAAAGATTAAGCAGGGCTTCCCTGGTGGCGCAGTGGTTGAGTCCGCCTGCCGATGCAGGGGACATGGGTTCGTGCCCCGGTCCGGGAAGATCCCACATGCTGCGCAGCGGCTGGGCACGTGAGCCATGGCCGCTGAGCCTGCGCGTCCAGACCCTGTGCTCCGCAACGGAAGGGGCCACAGCAGTGAGAGGCCCGTGTACCGCAAAAAAAAAAAAAAAAAAAAAAAAAGATTAAGCAGGTTAGTGCAAGTAAGGCAATATATAAGCTGGCTCCTTCTAAGCAATTTGTAAAGTTAGCTGTATGATTATTACTCTTCTTTGGAGGGATAATCAGTATGGACAACTTGGTATGTATCCTTTCAGATGTTTCTTTGCACAGTCACTACTATGAATCTGTATTAACAAAATGGGATCACACTGAGTATACTGTCCCGCTGGTGGCCTTTCTTGTTTTACCATGTGTCACAGCCCTCATTCTGGGGCAGGGAATATAAATCCTGAAAAGCTGCAGAGCCCCATGCCGCGTGAGGGGAGAACCACTACACGATTATTTCCATAGGGATGGACATTTATGTTGTTTCCAACTTTTCACTATTACAAACCAAACTGCTGCTATACCCCTTGTTCTTTCATCTCTACCTGTTTATTTCTTTAGGGTAAATTCTCAGATCTGTAATTGCTGGGTATGGTTCTTTACAAATGCCTTTGAATCTTAGCCTAGATATTTGATAGGCATAGTGGCTTATTCTCACCCTCATTTTTCCCTAATTTTTTCTCCTTCCAGCTGTTCAATAATTTGTCTGCCGACATGGAATTAGTATATTTAATCATTGGACCTGGTGTAGATAAATATCCAGAGATTGGTTTGTTTTCTATAAAAGATAATGTGAATGGAAAAATACATGTTCACCGCCCTGTTGATCGAGAGAAAACACCATCTTTTACGGTACTTAAAATTTGATACATTCTAAGCTTGGATTTATTGTAAAAGTCTTGCAGGAATATTGTATTCGGTAAGCATTCTGTAAGCTGGCTGTGTGCCAGGTTCTGGGAGACTGACATCTTATAAAATGTGCCATGCTTTAGAAGTGAGCCTGGGACACAGAGGTTAATTTTGTAATCTTCTTTTCCAGTTCTGGACTTTGGCTTTGTAATCATATCTGTAATCTGTGAACTGCTACAGGTCTCCCTTCTAATGACCAGTATGCTGATATGATTCAGGATATCTGAAAGCATTTGGCTATAGAGAGACAGAATGTTTATAAAATGGGCTGATTTAGTCTTTGATGAGTCATAGTTGAAATCTATGGAGAGAAGCTACAAACAGACTCCATGGATTGCATAATGATGAATGAGGAATTGCAGCCCTTGGTGATGGTTTCTTACTGTGAGTCTAGGTGTTCTTTATGATTTCATCACCCTAATACCATGGTCTACCAGGAAGCTGAAATTAAAGTTCTAAACCACAAAGGAAATTCAAAATAAGAATGCCCCAAACCACATGGTGGTATCTCGTGCTACCAGCCTAAGCTTAACGGGCTTCTTAGGAAGTCTGCAGCCTTGTTCTGGTTTGACGTCTGCTGGAACCTGTGCTTGGGTCTCAGGCCTGCTTGGCTACACATTGCCTCCTTCAGGGGGGAAGAAGTAATTTGTGAAGGTTTTCTCCAGTGACTCAAAACTTTTATATACAAAGTAAACTATATACCCTTAACTCATTGATGGGCTTGGACTCTCTAATTCTTAAACAGGCAGAAATTCTCCCAGACTCCAAAAGACATGCAAAGATGACTGTCTAGGTCTTCTCTCTCCATATAATCCCTCACCCGCCTCCACAAAACGTGCAGTGTTTGTTTAAAAGAAGGAATATACAGTGGTCATAAAGGAGACCCTGGGACAGCACTTCTCAATCTCTACTGAGCAAATAGGTCACCTAGGAATCTGGTTAAAATGTGGGTTCATCATACTTGTCCTTTTACATCGATTTCTGCAATTATTTACTAGTTGGTCCCCTCTGACTGTAAACTTTCATGAGGCAAGGTACAGGCTGGGGACTCCAAGGCCTGCCTCCACTGCCCCGAGGCGCTCGGTCCTATTACCTGCTTTACTTTCTCAACACCTTTCATTACCTGAAATGTATACCTGGATGGAGGTCCTCACAGCCCTGCCGGTCCCTCTTCACCCGTCACAGCACCGCCTGGCCCTGGCGACTGCCGAGTGTGAGAACCTTGCCCGGCCTTGGTGCATCTGGGCGGGACTTACATCTCCCACATTCTCTTTGCTCTATGTTCCAGGTCAGGGTTGGCCAGGAGAGAAGTCTCTGGGCCGTCTGGAAGGCAGACATGAAGCGGCGTGAAATGGGCTCTGATGGGCCGGGCCTTGTGGAAGCTCCTGCTTGTTGCCTCTGATGGGGCCTCACCTGATTGTCCTGGGGCAGCAATGGGACCAGCGGCTCCTCCAGCTCCAGTGAGTCATGGACCAGGTGCATGACCAGCAATGTGTGAGGGTGGCCATCCAGCCAAGCATCTTGTGGACTTAGAGGTGGTGTGAGACAGAGGCAGGTTCTAGTCCATCCTGGGGTCTCCAGTTTCTCCCCGCCCCTCCTGCTCTGTGTGCTGCCCTGCTCACCCCGGGAACTTCAGGCCAACCACCCAATGTGAAGGCATCAGCCTTCCGGAGACTCGCTCACCTCCTTCATCACTGCATAATGCCGAGCCCCATCATAAATCTTATCCCAGATCGCTCACAGGGTTCGATCAGGGAAGCACAACTTCTTATCAACACAGCCCTGGACTAGATAGTCCCCGAGGCCATGATTAAATTCTGGGGGTCACAGGTCAACATGAGAATCGCATGAAAGCTGTGCGCTCCGTCACAGACACATACTTGGATATAAGACGTTTGGCCCAATAGTGGGTGTTTGACCAGTGGGTCTCAAGCTTTGATGTGCACACATGTCACCTGGGGATCTTGGCCTCTTATTGAAATGCAGACACAGGGGCTGCAGTTCTGGGGTGGGGCCCAATATTCAGCATTTCTAACAAGCTCCCCGGGCAGTGCCAGCACTGCTGGTCCACGGACCACACTTTGAGTAGCCAGGTGTCAGAGGGTTCACAGACCGCATGTGAGGAGAGGTCCACAAAGGTTTGCCCAATAGTTTGACTGAACAGTTTGTCCAAACTTTCACACATGGGGAGAGGTACAGTGTGATACACATAGCAGATTCTCGATAAATATTTGCTGAACGGATGAATAAATGTGCAGTTTTCACAACAGTTTATCCTAAGTTGATCTCCCTTGGCCATCTGGACCTCCATGCTCCCTGTTACACCTCGCACCATTCATTTGTGGGTGTTCAAGGACCATGGACCCCCGTCACCAGTATCTTCACCACAGTCTAGTCAGAAAAGTGAGCCAATGGCTCAAAGGCTGTGGGCACGGCTCTCAGAAGCAAAGAAGAAAGGTAAGGGCAGAAGGTTCGGGTTTGGGCAAGCATGTTTAAACTCAGGCTCCCAGGGCCCCAGCCCAGACCCGCTGAAAGAGGCTCTGGAGGTGGGACCCAGGCATCTGCATGTTAACAAGCTCCCCGTCTGGCACATTCCATCCATCGTTGCTGTGTATCCTGTAACCATCCGTCCTTAGCGTGAACCAGCAAGGGGCTTTGTCCACTCACCTGCTACTGCAGCTTACTCTGATGAAGTGTCCAGCTCGTGCCAGGCGCCGTGTACCACAGAAGCAGGTAAGACAGCACTTGCCCCCAGAAGGCTGGCCTGCAGTGGGCTGGGTAGGCAGACAAGCCAGGAGGGGGCATACTTCCCCAGTGCCACGTGAGGGGCGGTGTGAGGGGCCGGGGGCCAGAGGAGAAACACGACCTGGTCATGGATGCTGGCCAGGCCATCCCAGCTGGCACCCGCAGGCCAAGCATGGGAGAGACAGGCTGGAGGGGCACACCCAGAGCCTGGTCTTCCCTCCAAGAACACAGCATGCGAAAGCTGCGCCTCGTGGTCCCACCCTTACGCAATGGGTGTGAATGGCCCACATTCTGTAAGTGCCCGGGGAAGCGCTGGAATATCGCCCGCTCTTTAGAACCTAAACGAATATCGCCCGTCTGAAGACAGTTTGCAGTAAAATAGTCTTTATCATTATTGAGAGTTTGACCTGAACCTGCCAACCGCCATGCTCGATTTAAAATCCTTCCATCCGGAATTATTAGTTAAGGGCAGTTTATCAAAGTAAAGATGGATGGTGTAAGCAGATTTTGCTGCCGGCATTCAGAAAAACATGTCATCCCCTGCCATTCAGCAAAGTTCTTTAATCACGGCTGAATGAAGGTTACCAGCTTTGAATTATTAGTTAATGGCATCTCTGCAAAAGAATGATTTATTGGGCACCTAAACTTTGCAAACGAACGCAGATCCTGAATTGCTGGGTATTTCATCCAAAGCTGAAATGAGCATTATTGGGACAATCCGTCTTCACAGTGAAAACAAAGTCCAAAGCAGAGGCTAACGTTTAGCCTTGAGCTCCGGTCTCTCTGTGCATTCGAGATATCGGGGATACTGAAGCCTGAGACACAGGAGAGTCCCCAAATTTTCTGTTCACCTACAGCCTGGAAAGCCCCCCCTCAGCAGGCCTCGCCACTTCGGAGCAGCCGTCAGGAGAGACGCATGCTTTCAGTGACTGTGACTTGGTCACCCTTCTCTAGGGCCCTGTCCTGAAACACCAGCCCAGCCGGGCCAGCACCATTCTCTGTCCCACACATACCAGAGACCTGACACCAGCCCCCAGCCCAGCCCTTCCCGAGAGGGACAACTCACCATCAGGCACCACTCACCTGGACCCACCTCAACCCTGCCTGTCGGCACAGCAGTTCTCAGGGACCATGGGGAAGGAAGTGAGGGGGACCTGTCACCTGCCTCAGCCATCGTTCTCAGACTTCCGAGCATCAGAACCCTCGGGAGGGCTTGCTAATACACAGAGCACTGGCGCCACCCTGGTTTCTGAGCCTGTAGGCCCGGGGCTGGGCCTCAGAATGTGCTCTTTAAGGAGTTCCTGGGTGATGCCACTGCTGCTGGGCCAGGGGCACCCTGCTTTGAGAACCGCTACTCTAGTCTGAGCCAGAGGCTTCTGGGCCAGGACAAAGGTCACCAGGAGCCCTGGATAACACCCCACAAGGGATCCAAAGTGTGGCTTCTATTTTAGCCTCAGGATTCTGGCCAAATCCTACCTTCAAAAATAACTAGACTTAGGATCATGACCTGGCCTTATTAATCATGGCCCATGAGATCACTCAGTGCACCGAACGAGGGCTCCCTGACTGCCCAGACCTGGGAGCATCAACCCAGGCAGGTCAGCAGTGCCCGAGGACCCTGGGCCAATCCCCACTCTCCCCTGACCAGCAGTGAGATGTAAGCAGCCCGTGGGGCCCTGGTGAGCAGAGCAGAGGCAGCAAGGGTCCAGCCAGGTGAACTTGCCATCGTACACATCGTACCATGTGTACGATGGTACACAGAGAAGCTCTGTGTGCTTGCCACGTACTAGGTGCTCAGTTAAAGCAGCTGCCGTGAATTATACTATTAAAGAGCCGCTCCACCCGGTTCTGCCCCACGAACGTCTGCTTGAAGAGACGGCTTGTGCTCGTAAATCATTACATAACAGTCTTGCGTTTCGTGTGATTTCTCAGTTAAGTGTCTTCCCTGTTCATAGCTGGGGCATTAATCAGCTCCCCCAGCCCCTGCACCAGGCTGGTCAGGAGCAAGAGTTGGACAGAATTCCTGCCCACAGCTGTCCCTCCTCAGAAGCCGAGACATGAAAGCATGTTGCTGGCACCCAAGTTCCCGTGAGTTCTACTTGTGACTTGCAGTGATCTCAAATGCAGCTTCCCAGAGACAGTGGGGGAGCATTTCTGAAGCCCTGTCGGGTTAAAGCCCCGCCCCTTCCACTTGAGGGGTTCATTTGCTAAGGAGCCAGCAAAGTCTTGCCGTTAAGGTAGTAGAACAGACAGAGGGCTCGGCTGCACAGCTCTGAAAATCTCTTAAGCAAAGGAGCTGAAAGTGGCATTTCATTTGAGCCCGAGTACTAAGGCCGTCTTGGCAGAAGCTGAAGCTGGGAGCATCCTGAGCTGGCTAACCTTTGTGGCTGGGCGGCCTGCCTGCTGCCCGTGTTAGATCAGCTCTCCCCGGGGCTGCCTCTGGAGAGCAGTTTTCTAAATGCAAGCCCTCGGCCCATGACCAGGGTATTTTTAGCCAATCTCCTGGTGCCCAGGGCTCTGCGGCTATGATCAGCATGGGGCCAAAGAACATTCTTGAACTGTGAGTCCCTGCTCTGGGCTGGGCTGATTCCCACAGCTACTTTAGCACCGTGTGGGCTCCCTCCTGACCCTTTCCCCAGAGCTCAAAGCTCCTCCTGACCATTCCGAGGACAGACTTTGGCCCTGCAGGTCCTAATACTGGGAACAAATCATCCCTTCATGGTTAACAGCAGCAGGGACGCCGTTGCCCCCACTGGGAAGAATGTGACATTACTGACAAAAGAGCCATTCACACTCAAGACAAACTTCAAGTGTAGAGCTTCTAAGCTGGAACGGACAGAAACACCCTCTGGCCCAGGGTTCCTGAATCTTCAGCGCTCCTGGGCTTTCCACCTTCACTGTTTTTACCTTCCCTCTCATACTCTGTAATGTTATTGCTACTCATGCACTTTCTTAACCAGTATATTAACTTTAGCTACATTCCAAGAACTACCATATATAATATCATGGGTTTGACATGCTGGTTATTCTTTTTCTTCCTACTATGCTTTAAAGGAACTTCTATTAAAATTTGTAGAAAGAGAAAAAGAAAGTCTTCTGTGTGCCTCTGATAAGCAGTAATGAAACCAGTGGAGAGGAAATCACACTCTAGAAACACCACTGTAGTGCAGTTCCCACGGTTCACGCAGGAAAAAATACTTATTGCCAGGCCTTGGCGTATGTTATCTCCTCTGCCATGTTTTCTCTCTCTTCCTCTCTCTCTCTCTCTCTCTCTCACACACACACACACACACACACACACACACACACACCTCTTGCCCACCTGGATAACTGACACCTCCTCCAGGAAGCCATTTCCAAGGCCCTAACCTCCGAGAACAGACACATGACCCCCACTACATTCTCCTTAGCCCTGGGGTGGCCTGACAATTTTACTGCCTATTATGCTCTGCTGGCTCCTTGCAAAGACCCCTTTTTGTTAAGGGGTGATAAGGAGTGTGAGCTCTGGACTCAAATGTCCCCTGTTCACTTCCTGGCTATGTGGCCCTGGGCAAGTTACTCGTCTGTTGTCCCCAAGTCTACCTCCCTCATCTACAAAACGAGGGTGATAACAGAATGTGAGAAATAACGTAGGGAAATGTTTAACATAGGCCTGGCACTTAATCAGTGCTCAATAAATATTCGTCGAATGCATGAATGCATGAATGGATGCAGTCTGTATACAGGCTGAACTTAAACAATAATCCACAACTTATTTAAGAGCTACTAACAATCTTATTTAAAATACAGGTTCCCAGACCTGTAGCCAGACTTCCTAAGTTAGATCTAGAACCTGTATGTACGCAAGCCCTCAGTGTGATTGTTTCAGAACTAGCCTATTTCTTTGTAGGGACAGTGCTCAGAAGCTGAATGACCACTGAGAATCCGTAGATGCTTCCACAGATGCAAAGTCCCCAGGTCACCTCACATCTTCCCGTTGCCCTCACGCTGCACGCACCATTGCTTAAACTTATGGTGGAGTTCTCCCTGAAGCTACGGCAAGAGGAGTTAGAAGTTAGCGTTCAGAGACCCCTCCATGGGAATGTGGTGTCTAAATAATAAGTGATTATGATGATCTTGGTGGTGATGGTGGTGATAATGATGGTGATGGTGGTGATGGTGATGGTGATGGTGATGGTGGTGGTGGTGGTGATGGTGGTGGTGGTGATGGTGATGGTGGAGACGGTGATAATGATGGTGATGGTGGTGGTGGTGATGGTGGTGGTGGTGGTGGTGATGGTGGTGGTGGTGATGGTGATGGTGGAGACGGTGATAATGATGGTGATGGTGGTGGTGGTGATGGTG